CCTGGACACCTGCTGCCATCTACTGCTGTAGACAGGCTATTGGAGCAGAACAGTCCTTGGTCTGACCAGGGATGGTTATTTTTATGACCACTTTTTTGTTCATTTTAGCGTCAGTAGGGTACCACTAAGAGACAGTACCTTCTTTGATTCTCTTACTTGATTCTGGTGTGACTTCACTGGCCCAAGTGCAAGTGTGGTGTTGTATTCATCTACCTGGTGGCACTGAACAGGGACTACACACTCTGTGTACATCTACTCCGCTAAAAATAAGTGGGAAAAGCGAGATCCCCATCCCCACAAGGTCTCCATTCTTCCCTGTCAAGAGGTACCATACTCATCCAAGCAAGCACAGGGAGGTGACTTGCTGAAAGAAGGAAAAGAGGGCCTGGAGTGAAAGAAACCTAGGAGTATCTGGGGGGCTGAGGGAGCACGGGTTTGGTGTCACTGCCACCTGCACCGCCAGTGGGACAGGCACAAGTGAAGGGTAACTGCCAAAGTCCACAGACCTTCATGGCTACAGGCACCACCAGCTTTGCTTTGGATGGAAAATCCACCCAACAGTTGGGACAAAAATGGGCACAGCCACGCACAAATGCTACATCGAGGAGGACCTGCATTTTATTTAGAACCAAGACACAGAGGCACACAGCAAGGAACTGCCCCACCACAGCTTAGCTTTTGTTGAGGGTGAAGGCAACGTGGTTTTACTTCATGGCCAAGGTGGGCTGCGAGGCCACGTATAGTTAATGTAGTTGACAGTTGACAGGTACTGATGGATTCAGCTACAGTAATGTGACAGACTGTCCACATCTTTGCTTCTTTACTTGCCTGCTCTCAAGCATCATGACCCAAACAAGGAAAAACCTCAACATGCCCATGGGGAAAATTATGTTCCTATACACCAAATAATCACTGTCCTGTGGAGACATCTGTGAATGTTGGGGTGGGATAGGACAGGATACAGCTACATTGCATGGAAAGAGGCTCTTCACGAAGTCCCAGGCCATGATGAGACCCCCTGCACTGTGTCTTTGCTCTTGTCCAGCTGCTGGAGCCTTCTGCTTCTTTTTTTGGCTGCCGTCACAAAGCCGTAACCCTGCAGAGAGACTTCTCTCTAGAAAGCCTCCTCCAACTCCTTAGCTACCAGCAACGATCCAGCTCAGGGCTTTTATTGCTCCTACACTGAAATATTAATGATGCCATCAGCCCTGCGAGCTCACTGGCACTCTTGAGTTGTCTGGATCAATAGAAGCAGAGCAGATGGAGACATGAAAAAGAGCGACTTTTGGAGGGCTTGGTGTTTTCCAGGAGTGCTAACAATGATGCCCCAGACTCCCTCTGGGAGAGCGCCGGGGAAGGTCAGACAGCCCTCCATCAGTCCCCATTGATTCCCTCCTGACTGGACCTCATCCTAATGAATTGTCATAGAGGACCATTGTGCTAATCAACCCGCTATTAATGTGGGCTTAGAAATGATTATGGCATTGATTAGAGGCAGCTTGTCAGCCAAAGCTGGTAGTGACAGCTTCCAGCTGGCTGGTTCTGAGACTTGCCATTACTGTCAGTGGTGGCAGGAGATAGCGGTCCCCATCATCTTCCTCTGTCCCTTCATTTGGGGACAGTGCTGAAAATACTCGCTGATGCTGAAGGCAGCAAAAGCAGTCAGCCTTCATGCAGAGCAGGATCCAGAAGCAAGGACTGGTCATGTTTCTACACCGACCCAAGAGGAAACGAGAGGAGCCTGATCTTCAGAGCCCAACCTGTCCTCAACATGCCAAAGTGTAAGGTGGCAGCTGAAACACCAGGTTCCTCGCCCCATCTTCTCCTGGAGCGCAGCATCCCACCCAGGCCAAGGATCCCACCAGTCACTTCACCCCCTGGCCAAGGTATCAGTGACTCGCCTGGCTGCAGGGGAGAGATGGTAGCTCTGGATGCAGTGCCTTTCGGGACACCACGCTTCAAGGTGTACAGCACAACCCCTGCTTATGACCTGACGTGTATTACCTGAAGGACTTACCTGGGGCACATCTACCAACTCCAGCAGTAGCTGGAGCCCGGATCCCTCCAGGAGATCGTCATGTGTCTGAGGTCCACGGCTCCCACCCACTCGCAGGAAACCTCCCCAGACATCTTCATCCCTCCTCAGTGGATGCTGGAGAGCATGCAATAGACCACCCATCCCAGGATCCCACTGAGTCCTGGACTCACCTCAGTTGTGTGACACTGAGGCAGTGGAGACCACGTCTCCTCATTCACCTAACTGTGAATGAGCTTAGGTGCTCCCAAAATCTGGAGCTGTAACACCCTTTAGTGGGAAAAATATACAGTGAAAGGGCTGAGAGAGCGGTAAATTAGGAGCTCAGAAATACTAGGTTCATTTCTCCAAGCTGGTTTAAGGCTTTTCTCATTTTTCTTAAGACTGGTTAATTAAGAGGAAAGGCACCCGTGACCCTGCAGAAATGTCCCCCATTAGAAGGAGGAATTGGTGGACACCGATTCTTCTAAGCATGGGCTCTTCTGCTGGGAACTTGCCAGCTCAGGAAGGGGAGGGATGGACCAGCTGTGCCCATCTGCTGATTAGTACAAACTGGGATGAAATTCCCCAGGCAGATGGGTCAGAGCAGTGTATCTGAAAGCCTTTATGGGATGCTGAAACGGTGTAGGGAGAGATTCAGTGACTGGTATAAAGAGGCTCATCTTCCCTGCAGCAGAGAGAGATCACACTGGCTCACTCACCTCCCACCCCCAGCTCTGATAGAAAGGAGAATCCACCTGAGGATCCACCTGAGGACCATTTCCCCTCCTCTGCCCAGTTTCAAACCCCTCCCCAAACCACACAAAGCTGCTAAATGCTCTATTAAGCCTCTCACACCAAGAGAAAAGAAGGTAAATGTTCATTTTACTTTTTACAGATAAAAAGGTGCTCAAAAATACCAACAGGGAGTTGAAAATTGGTGTGTGCTGCTTTATTGCATGCAGGATTGGGGTAGCTTCCAAAAAGAGCATGAAGAAGATGCGCACAGCCTCAGTCCTTAAGGGGAACCCTGTTGATTAGGCTTTTATTTACTGTGGTACATCAATACCCAGCGAGATATCTGCCGCGAGAGCTCTGCCCCAGCAACCAGCAATGTAGCAATGGTATATTGTGAGACCTGGCATGCAAAAATCCCTTTGGTTCCTGTTATAGGGTTTAAAGTGGTTTGTAGTCAGGAGCTCTGCTCTGGGATGTACAAGGAGGGGTCTCTTATGGGAAAGTCTGCCAGGACCCTAGAAGGAGGTTTGGCCCACAGCAGGTCCATGCTACAGCCAAGCAGTGATGCAGCCAGTTTTATCTCTCCTCACTGAGACCAGCATTTCTTGGGGTGTAAACAAAGACATCAACTTCTCCAGCAATGCCCATGGCACAGCTGTATGATTCAGTGGTTGCTGAAAGTTTCTGCCATCTCTCCAGCCAGTAGCTGATCTTCTGCTTTCCTTCTCCTCTCTGCCTGGCATAGCTTGTGTATATCATTTTATACACTATTCTTGGGCTGGGGAGGGCATGGAGTCTGCATCTCTGGAGGCTTTGAAGAAAAGACTGGACTCTTTGGGGGATGGCCCGCACAAGTCAGCAGGCCATGGGTATAAAATCACCCTGTCCTGGCTTTCCCATCACCGCCCTCTCCTTGCGCACCTCAGGAAAATCTCAGGCCATACCTTGAGCGCTCCCCCACACTTGAGTGCAACCTTAGCAAAGGACCAATTGTAATAACACTTGACTCTTTTGAAGGACAGTTCTATCTGCGGGTCTCAAGAAGCTTCACCAAAGTGCTCTCCACTTTTTGGTGGAGGAAAAGGGAACGTTCAAAGTTAGTAGTTTCTTCACAGTCATGGGACAAGCCAGGCACAAAACACCCTCCTGCTCCTAAACTTGCAAAGGTGTCATCTCCCCTCTTTGCTCCCATGGCCATCCAGACACTGCTCCCTGCCTCAGCAGTTGTAGATGGTAGGATGTACTGCTTTTTGGGGACAGCAGCAGCAGGTTCCTGCTCTGTGGTCTGCAAAGTGCTCTGCAGCCTCACAGCTCATAGATGCTTCAGAACAAATACATTCACGGCTGCTTTAAGGCCACAACAATGCACAAACTGTTTTTGCTGCGGGGCACTCACTGCTGGCTCCGACCTACAACAGCCTGCTCTCAGCTGCTGGCTCACTTGCCCAGCTCTGCACACACATGCACGTCTCCTCCAACCCATCTTAGGACCAACAATCTCCAGACAGCACAAGGTGACCAACGTGCTGAAGTACACCTTCCCACAGTGACACCCAGCATGAAATGGCGACGGCTGTCAGGAAAAGAGTGGTCCAACCTCCCTGCACCAGTTTGTCCAGTGGGTTTGCAATGCACAGAATACCGCATGCCCAAATGTACTTCAGCTTCACGGCAAGGTGATCCTCCATGGGAATGGTCTTCAGAGACACCAAGCAACCATAGTCGCAGCAGGAGTCACTGCAGCCTGCAAGCACTCAGTATCCTTGCAAGAAGCACTCCACCCCAAACAAGCCCTCCCTTTTTAATGACTAGGATGGAAACTGCAAGCCAGGGCTCTTGCCAAGTTGTCTCTTCTGTTTCTAGTACGGCAATTTCTTATTTTTCCATCAGGCTTTTGGTATGCAGTTGCCACAGTTGGAGGGTTTAGGGCAGCCTCGTATTTCCAAGACAGCAGTCAGACCTGTTGAACCCCTGCTGAATTCACAAGCACGCAGACTTATACTCCAGGCAAATACAGCGGCAAGCTCATGGCCTCCTCCTCCCCGTCATTCAGACCGAGGACAGCACGTATGGCAAAAGTTTTGCAGGGCTGAGGTGCTCCAGAAGTGCCGAGTTGCCCTCCACTTTTTTGTAATGCCATCCCTCATCAAAAAAGAACCACGTAAAAACTGAACCAAGAACTGAGCTGACAGAAAGAAAAACAAAGACAAAAGCATAGCTGGAGTAAGAAGGGCTGAGCAAGAGAAGATCAGGCTTTAAAAACAACAGAGCCCTTCAGCTGAGCTGGTTCAAGGCCATCGGCGAAAGCAAGGAGGAAATACATCACCTTGCGGATCTGGGCTAATTCTGCTATCCGCTCCCCAAATTCCTGGGCATCTGCCTCATTGCACTCTACCTCCTTGGCCCCTGGCTTCTTCCAGAAGATGCCGACCGGCTCCAGCAGCTGCCGGTTCATAAGGTGGGTGAGATCAGGAGTCCAGTGCTGGGAGGTGCCGGTCACCGTGACCTTCCCAGGTCTCTCCAGCTGGATGTCCCAGCGGAGGAAGCGCAGGTTGTGCTGCCGGATGAAATCCACTCGGTAGATGTGCTCGTTGGGATGCAGCAGCTTCTCACCATCCTGGGGTCTCATGTTTTTTTGCTGCAGGCTCTGGAATCGCAGCCGCATGCAGCGGGTAAGCTGGTCATCACGGATGAAGGGCAGCTCGAGCATCCCTGCCTCGGCTGCCATCGCCTCGGCTGATCCTCTTCTATGTCCTCAGAAGTGTTTGGCTCTCAAACAGGACAGGCAGAGGGAAAAAGCTGCCAAGCCCACGGAGCTGGTGCCCCCTCTCCACGGTCCCAGAGATGAGCGATGCTAGGCAACCTGGGCCAGTGACGCAAAACACCCTCCGGGGCTTCCTCTGGGTGCCCTCCCGCCTCGTTTGCAGATTAGGAACTGATGGTGCTACTGTGCACAATAATCTATAGGGAAGGGACGTCTGATGTCAGCCTCCCTGGCAACCTCCCTGACAACCGCAGCTCGTTATCCTGAAATGAAGGTCTGGGTGGCAGTGGTTTTTCTCTGAGCGTAGGCTGATGGGATAATTCAGGTTGGAAGGAGACTCTGGAGGGCGTCTGGTCCAGCCCATCACTCAAACGAGGACTTAAAGGTTAAATCAGGCTGCTCAGGGCTTTGTCTGGTCCATCTTTGAGTATCTCCATGGATGGAGCTCCCACAGCCTCTCCAGGTCCCTGTTCCAGTGTCTGACCACGCTCATGCTGAAGAGAAGCTGCAGCTTGTGCTGTCGTCTTTTGTCCTGTGACTGTGCAACCCCAGCAAGAGGCTGGCTTCGTCCTGTCCATACTTTCCCATTAAGTAGCTGCAGACAGCAATAAGCTTCCCCTTCGCTTTCCCTCCTCCTGGATGCACAAACCCACCTCTCTCAGCCTCTCCTCCTATGTCCTGTGCTCCAGACTGTCTTGGTGGCCTCCATCAGGCTCACTTCAGTCTGCCACTGTCTTCTTCTGGGGATGTTGTAACTAGCGATAGAACAAGAGGAAACGGCCTCAAGCTGTGCCAGGGGAGGTTCAGGTTGGATATTAGGAAGAATTTCTTCACTGTAAAAGTCGTTAGGCATTGGAACAGGCTCCCCAGGGAGATGATGGACTCACCATCCCTGGAGGTCTTCAAAAAAACGTTTAGATGTGGCACTTCAAGATATGGTTTAGTGGGCATGGTGGCGCTGGGTAGAGGGTTGGACTTGATGATCTTTGAGGTCTCTTCCAATCATAAAGATTCTATGATTATATGTCAAAACAGTGTCCAGATGGGGATTAACAAATGCCAGACACAGGTTTAATGGGAAGTAAGGACACGGAGGGAGCCTTGGGGTGAGGCGGAAGAAGGCGTGTGAATGACATCATCTCTTGGGATACACAGGGATGCGCCGACCTGTGCTATTCCCTTGAAGGTATTCCCCTCCCCACAGTGTGTTTCACTGTGTGAAGTGGAGCAAGGGACACACAGAGCCTAAGTTACATCCTGGTATAAATCAGGATTACACTTTCTAACAGCAATGGGACACCTCGGCCAAGATCCCTGTGCCGATATTTCAGAGATGCTAACACCTGCATCAGCATCTTTCAACTCCTCCCTAACCCTGATTCTGAGACATTTTGGTGTCTAATGACAGTTTAAAAATCTAGTGTTCGCTGCCTTGTCTGTCCTCTCAACTGTTCCTTGCATCAACATATTGCTCAGTCAGGAGTAGAGGTTTGCCCTGCACATCCTTTGTGTGGACTTGCCCGAGGGCCAAGGAGCAACAGGTACCTCCAGCAACGTTCTCACAATTGCACGTGAAACCATACCGAGGACCAAGTGGCCCATTGTTTCTGAGCTGATGAAGGGCTTTGAGATCTTCAGCAAGGACCATGCTCTAATCCCAGCACAGTCAGCAGAGCTGGTGTCTTGTTGGACCAAGAGGTTAACCTGTGCACTTGACATCTCCCATATTGCTTTAAAAGTTGGTGTCTCTTTGGACCAAGGGATTAATCTGTGCACTTGACATCTCCATTTTGCTTTAAAAGTTGCTGCTGCAGTTTACAGTCACACTTACTCCTTGCAATTCACCATAAGCACACAAAGCACCTTGCAAAACGTAAGCACAAGTCCCATCTAATTCACAGGTCTTCAAAAGCAGAGCAGTGCTGAAGCGTGTCTGACCAGAGCTGGGTAGTGACCACCACAGCAAACTGAACATCACTGAGAGGGAATGCTTGGGGAGAGGGCTGCAGCTTCTGCTTTTGCCAGAAAACAAACCTTTCTGAAAGAAAGAGGAGGCAGGTAAAGAAGAGCCTCTGAGAGTTAAGGGCATGGAAAATAAGAAGGCACAAACACCCACAGCCAAATTGCCAAGGGAGGAAAAGCAATGCCGTCGGCAAACTGAAATAATGAGGCGTTCAAAGGGACCTGGCCTCTGCTCGATTGGCATCTCCCAGGGCAGGGCTGGAAGTGAATGGTGAGAAGGGAAGACAACTCGCCTGCTCACCCCTGGGAGATGTCGACGGAGAGGAACAAGCTAAACAACCCCTGGCACCACATCTGTAACGAGAGCCACAACAGCCACCACAGCCACGAGGGGAGGAAACCTTACTGCTTATCCAGAGGCCAACAACAGCTACCCTGTTCCCATCTAAAGAAAAGACTTGATTTTAACAAAAAAATGGGGATGCTGCAACAAACACAAATTCCCAAGGCTGAGCTTGGTGTTCATGATCACAACAACAACACGCAGAAGAGGCTCTGAGTACCACAGAGCCGCTGCAAAGGAGTAGGGTGGAGGGAATATTCAGACCCTGTGGGTCTGTTGCAGTAGGAGGCTGTGTGTGAAGCAGGTGATGCTGTCTGCACACACTGTAGGACTTTGGTGGCTGCCTTTGCAGTAAAACCTAGGAAACAGTGCTTGCAATTTGCTGATCTCTTGTCCTACGATGAGACGTGCCTGTGCCAGGGACTGAAGCCCACATTTGTCTTGGCTTTCACAGGCTTGACCTCTTCTACAGCTGAGCACATGGCAGAGATGGGCACAGACTGCCCAAGGATGTGGCACAGAGGACCTCCTTCCCTCCTTCTAGCTCTGTGGTTGCTTCCCTGGTCTCTCTCCCCTTGCTGTGTTGCAGACCCTTTGTGCCTTTCTGGTCTGCAACACAGTTCCTTTGGACCCCACACTCAAAAGAGTGCTGCTACATGGTGCAATCCGGCCACAGGACATGCCAGGGATGGATGCTTTGGGGAACCAGCAGCTTGGGAGAGATGCTAATACCCTGAAATCACCCTACCTGCCCCAGTGCGGGGTGTTTGACTGCCAAGGTGGGCACATACTGCACAGCCAAGGAGAGGTAACACCATGGGAGCTAGGGAAACGGGGCCAAACGCTGCAGCTGAGCATCAGGAATTTTGTTGTCCTTGTTGTTTTTTATGTTATTTTGGAGTAGGGAGGGTCAGATTTGGGATCTGGAGGACAGGACAGGACTTGATCCACTTGGTTAAGGAGAAACTGGCCAAGGGTTTGGCTTGAGTGTGATGTGACTGCAGTCATGATGACTAACTCCCCTTGAAAGCTAGTCCTTTAAGGGAGGTTTTTGCACATGAACAGTTTTTCAGGACCTGAGGCATCCCTGAAGAACCAGTTTTTGACCTGGACAAACACAACACAAAGCCAAGGTGTTGAAGACAGGCTTTCCCCTGGCATGGGGAACCGCTTACCTTCTGCCACAGAGACTCCCGGGATGCCAGGGAGGAGCAGGCAGCCACGAACCAGCAGTTCCCAACCTGGCCCTGGTGTAAGTCATGGGAGCTGATCCCATCCACAAAGAGGCGTGGATCATCGCAGATTTCCTGTGGGACAGGAGAAAAAGAGACGTACTGGGTAAGCGAGGAGACAGGGAAATCAGGAGCAAGGCTTCTCGGCAAAGGAAAATCTCTTTGTCTCTTCCTCAGGCTCCATTGAAATCCCACCTGCAGGTTTCTGCTGGCTTTGCTCATCACGCCGGTGGCAGGAGGACCCTGTCCTGCTTTCTGCTCTCACCAGGACATGGGTAGCATCACTGCTGAACTGATGCCAGGCTTACTCCCTGTTCTGTTCCAGCATCAGCACAGCTTTGCTATAATTATCCCTGGTGATACTGGTATGTTTTCACACCATTACAGCCCTAGTGACCCATTCCCTCTTCTAAGTCCATTCTGTTATTTCTCATAAGCCCTTCAGCTCTCTCTACTCTGCGACTGCTTTACAAGCTTCTCCCTCTCTTCTTTTGCTCTAGAGAGCATGACAGCATCACCCAAACTCACTGCCTCCCATACTGGAACTTGTGGATCCATCCAAAAAAAAACCCTGCAGGAGCAGGGCAGAGCCAGGCATTTAGGCAAGGAATCGCAGTACCTAAATTAGACGGTTCACCCAGGAATGCTCAACACAGACTGAGGGCTCAGCCATGGTTGCAAGAAGCCAAGTGTCCTCACCCAGGTCTCTCCTTCCAGATCTTAGCACAGCAGATGGACAAAATTCAGTGAGCCAAAAGCTTTACAACTGGGACAAGAGGCTTAAATGCTCATTCTGACACCAAAATCAGCACGGTGGATTGTGTACGGGCAACATGAACAGAGAAACTTGGGTACGAGGCAGCTAGGAGCTGAGCTCGTCCCTTCGACCACTCGGGCACCAACCACATCTCCTTTCCTCTGCCCAGCTCCCGCCAGGCTGCCCGCCCTTCTCCCCACTCCCACTTAGAGCCTGGCCAAGAAAGCACTTAAATAACAGAGGGTGTTGAGCAAGCTTCGTGTGAAACATCGCTTGTTTTTCTTTCATCTTCTCTCCTGATCAGTCCAGTTTGGAAGGTCACGTCCAGCTGGTGGCTGGGAGCGGATGGGACAGACAAAGAGGTGAAAGAATCTTTCTCCCTTTGTTATTTTAACCAGAAGGAGGGAAAGGAAATGCAAATTTTCCTTCTTTCTCCACACCACCCAGTTTTTCATGCTGGTTGCACCCAGAATATGACGTTCCCCTCAAATTTTGCACATGAGGACTTGCATTGCCTCTGGCCATCACAGGGGGGTAAAAGGAATCGCTGCTTCATGAACACCTCCTGGTATTCCCACCTAACCCAGCCAGCACTGTACACCTAAAAAATAACCTGAGCTCCATCCAGACACAAACTGGGTAGAGATCAAACCCAAGGGAGAGGACTAAT